GCACGCGAAGAGTTTCATCAGGAACCTTATCAGTAGCGAGCTCGCGCATCCGACAGAGCAGCTGGGATGGCTTCTGCTCGCCCAGCTCTAGCTCGCTCATAAGCTTCTCGATCTGCCTCGACATAGACTCCTCATAGATGTGGAGCAGCCGAGCTTTAAGTGCGTCGTACTTGTGGGTAGGAGGCGGATTTAGTAATATGTCTGTCACTTGCCCGATGACCCCCTTACGCAGCTTGGACAAGACCAGGTCAAACTTCGCCTTATCACTCATCCTCTGCGGTGTGATGATAGCTTCTGTGCGTACGAACCACACGCGCGGCTGCTCCGTCCAGAAGTCCGAGAGACGGTACTGTAGAGTCATACATCTGGCGCCATAATGGGCGGAGGCGTGAGCGGCTAGATGTTTTGGACGTGAGGCACGTCAACAAGCGCCACGTTCTGTGGCGGTGGCGGAAGCGGCACACTCATGTTACTATTATAAATTGTCCGTCCGATCACAACACACGCAAAAAATGCCTACTACTGTGTTCATATCACTTCGGGGTTACCAGTTTAGGAGCTGACTCCCTATGGGTCCCTACGGGTGACCATAATGAAAGGTTGCACAACTTTTATTATATATTTATTATAGAGGAGCGTGTAAAACAGTTGATGAGCTATTAGCTACTGGCCCTTTATTCTGAGTACTAAGCTGCTAAGTAGAGAGGTACAATATTACGAAGTATACATAAATTATTTTAATTTAGACGAAGTAGCCTTGCAGCGGGTAACAGAGGTAAAAGACCTTGGTGTTCACTTTACTTCAAAACTCAATTTTAGAGACCACATTCATAAGATTTGCAAGAAGGCGTATAGAAATTTAGGATTTGTGTTGTGTCAGTCGCGGGAATTTACAAATCTCGGTGCGGTCCGGGCCTTGTATGAAGCACTAGTGAAAAGTCACCTAGAGTGTAATGGCTTTATATGGAGCCCGCACGAAGCTAAGTACAAATTGATGGTGGAACGGATACAAAATAAGTTTATTCGATTTCTTTATTTAAAATTATATGGAGTGTATCCGTTCTACCCATTAATGTACCTATTCTAGGTATGGTAGGGTATAACAAACTGGAGTTTAGAAGGGAGTTAAGTTTGGCAACATATATGTTTAAATTGCTGCGTGGAAAACTATATAACGAGGCGACATTGCGAATGGCTAAGTTGTGTGTGCCGGACAGGTACGTGTGGCGCCGGAAGCGGCCGCCGCTGTTCGCGGTACCGCGCGCACGCACCAACCATCTAAAAGAGGCCCCACTGACCCGAGTGCTGCACACTCTAAATAAAGTAGCTCAGGGTATAGATTTATTCTGCTGTTCCTTGGGTGAATTCACAAAAGTGAGATTATATGTATTGTGTTATAATAGTAGATAAGTTGTGTTCTGTCCTTATTAAATTAGATAGTTTTATGTGCCTACACTGTCGTATTAGGAACGCCTATAAAGACAGAGGTAGAAATAAATAAATATTTATGGTAGATAGATACAACATTACTAAGTATACATGTGTGTGTGTGCAGCACACCTACAGAATGGTGCTGCAAATTGATACCTGGTAGCGTTGGAATCAGTGGAGAAACGTACTAAGAGGCTCATTGGTGACCTTGATTTGGTTTATACCAATCTTTTCAGCCTCGAGCACAGGCGCAGAGTAGCCAGTCTCCCGGTATTCTATTGGATGCATTTCGGTGAGTGTGCGCAGGAATTACACGCTTTAATTCCTCTCTCTCCTTTCCACCAACGGAAAACCAGGCGGTCGACGGGTCTACATCCCCTTACTGTCAACGCATTAGAACCAAACGGTTTGCTTCGTCTTTTGTAATTTTACAGTGCGATTTACCATCTAAAGCTACATCACCACTTACCACCAGGTAGGATTGTGGTCAAGCACTGCCTGCCAATAAGTAAAAAAAGACATGAATAATACCACTTATACCCTACAAGTAATCGTATCTGTGTATTAAAATTAAATATCTGATGTTGAATCTATATATACGTGATTCTGTAACTTTGTAAGGTAGTAAGTATCCAGTCTACAAGGTAATTTTTAATAAATTCGGTTTGCATAATGATTTCCTACATTAAGGTGAGCGCTACATTTTGAATAAAACTACACATGTTTACGGAATTTAGTGCGTTTAATTTTCTTATTTTAACTCCGGCGCCTACGAAACAGTGACCGAGTGAAGCCGTACACGGTCGAGTGTGTGACTGCTGTACTACCCTATGTCAGAGGAGTCACAGACAAGATTGGCTGTAGCCAAAGATGTATCTTGGATATAGGTTCCATTAAAACATACTTCAGGCTGCCGTCAAGTGGAATATCTCTCTACAAGATGCAGGAGTGAACGAGCTTGATTACGAAAGTGGTCTCTCTATTAAAGCCCGCGTGAATAAACACATAGCTAACGTGAAGCACCGACGCTCTGTGAAGTCTGCAGTCTGTGAATATGTTCAAGATTGTCCCCGCCATTACATCAGATTTGATAGACCACAAATCCTCGCCCATTTCTACCAAGTATGATACGTGAGGCTATTGAAATAAAAATAAAAAACATCCTAATTTCAATAGAGAAGATTTTCAAAAAATGAAGGTAGCCGTACTATCTACGACATCTGGACGTCAAACATCTCAATCCCCCCGTGACCATTAGTCGCTGTGAAGATTAAGTAAATTAAGCGTGATAAAATTCGTAAACATTCAATTGATTAGGTATGCTTAAATTTATAGATACATGTAATATCTAAATATTGATTTGACTTCAAAGAAACTATTTGTGTTTTTAGTCTTCTGTTGGAATCACTTAACTTTTTAACTTTTTTATCTTTTTTGTTCATTACGTTGGTTAATTCGATGATTCTTCTACAAAAACGTTTTTAACTGGAGTATTAAATGCAGATGGCGTATCTGATTTTTAGGTGTTGGCGGGTTTTTCGCGTCTTTCAGCGGTGAACCAGTAATCTAAATCAGAAATACATATTCGTTTCTTTTAAAACATTACCGATATAGTATTATTAATTAATACACCATACGTCTTCCAAATTTAGATGTACTTAATAATTATAATAAGATATCTATCTATATATATAGAATCCAACAGCTTTATACGGTTTTTCATAGTATTACGAAGAAAGGTGGGAAACCATTCGTCCCCTCGACAATTTGCGTCGATCCACATCTTTTTTTCCTTTCGGGGCATTTAGGAAACCTATAACATATAGGTACCACAATGATACGTCACTACTTTTATAAAATAATATGACTACGATAAAAATAATTAAACGATGACCAAACAAATATCGACTTAAAACTCACAACACTATCGATACACGTGCTGTTGTTAGGCAAAGACAACTATTGTAATTTACTTAATGAGTGAAAGGGACATTTCAAAAAGACATCAACGGGTGCTTAATTGTTATCACTTTGCACCATTAATATACCAGTATAAGTTGATCTCCGGTGCATTTGAAATAGGTTAACGTGATAAGAATAGAATTTACTTACCAATTAAAATTTATGCCATCTTTTTGATAACTGGATGTCTTAGCTGACTTGTCACACCATTTTACTGCACAGGAAGCCATTTGTAATGTATTTTAGATACAAAACTATTTTTAAATTATCAAGAACTCGGACGTGCCTACGGATCACAAACTTGGTCGAAACTGATGTCGTGATTCTTAGCTTCACTTCGTATGCTAGCTACAGCAAGTATGTGTTGCGCGCGTTTGTGGCCCTGTATGCGGAATCTATTAGGAGGTAATCTATGCATCGAGCCCATATTTAAAGTGAAATAAAGATAGTTATTCTATATAAGAATCTAAAATGTATTAATCCGTAAAGTACAATGCCCATTTGTGCCCCAGAAATGCCCAGATAAAGTATATTACAAGATTGCTCTAATAAATAAAAACTAGAATTATGTTGTTAATTTTAAATCATATGAAGCACTGGATAAAAAATTAAAAAAAAATAAGATGTTCTTGTTGACATTGCAGTTCGTATCATCGTTTCCGTCATTAATTCATGCTTTATTTATTACGGTCTGGAATCGCATCCTTTGGCCCATCTAAAACTCAACATGTTTGATATTAGTCATAAAAGTGATTACTAAATAATTGAATAATAATATACTGCTTTACAACAAAACCAAATAAAAATACGATTTTGTAATAAACGTATATCTAGGTTTCAAATAAACAAATATTATAATTCAAGCAAAAACCTAATGATGTAATGGCTCAAAAGACTTAGCTCCAAGTCAAAAACATTTAAAAAAAACTAAAACTAGATGGGATTTGGATGACGTCTGTACATGTATTCTGTGGACGTCTGCGGCTGTTTTTGTGTGTTCTCCGATTTTGCTCTTCTGTTCGATAAAAAATCTACCTTGGCTTCGTTTTATGGATATTGATAGTGTCGTTTTATTCGGTGACTTCGGCTTTTTTCTAATAAGGACTTGACTGTGTTTTGTGATTTGGACTTTTCGTTTGTGATACAAAATGTTGCGTTGCCTGAACTGCGGGTTACGCGTTCAGCGAATACAGAGGCATGTGTTTACAACTCTGCCTCAAGAGTTGCTAATAATCTTATCTATTTGGCTGAGAATTGAATATGTAAGTATCTTTATACATCTAAGTATCTTGTAAGTAGAGTATGCGTACACGATAACTTGAAACCTGAGTGCGAGACCTCGCTGTATAAAAAATAAAATATTATTTAATACAATCGAACTTCAGATCTTAACTTATCGCAGACGCGTAAGATAATATATCTCTCTACTTAGTTAATCATTTTTTTATGGAATGTGACAACTAACTGACACCCATTGTTTTCTTTTCAGCTTCCTATGGAAGATGTGTTGTGTCATGCTTGTTATGTATTGATACAATATGCTGATGTAAACACACCTAGGACATTAGGTCATACTAATGTCTGTGCTGGTTGTGGCTGTTCTTTGAATGAAGCTAGACTTCACTTTCTTGAAGAAAATAGACCACTTTATGAATATTTCCCTTGGATTAGATCAACACAGGTATTTACCTATTACTACTTATATTGAATATGGTTAATGGTAATGAGACATACCATATTAGAAAATAATTCTTATAACTACCTATATCAGTGGAATAGTTTTTAAAATGAAATCATTTGATCAATTTTTAAACATACCTTATACGTCAAAACTCCCTTGGTTTGGGGATTTTTTTTTTACTCAACTTAGTTATTTAAGGGATTGTGTATTTTATCATTTTCTTAAATTGATTTATTTAACAATGATAATTATTTTCAGAATGGAAGAGATAGCTATGCAGTTTGTCATAATTGTTGGCGGAGAGCTAGCCGACAAGCTGCACAAGATTCTCAACGTGAAATCTCTATACCACAGTTGCCATCTGAACCTGCCCCTGCATCTGCCCCTGCCCCTCCACCTGCACCTGCCTGTCTGCCAGATCAAAGATCCATTGAATCGGCCCCTATCTATTTACCTCATTACAAGAGAGCTGCTAGTACATCACGACACTGCATTTATGCTGACTGTGGTAATGCATCCATGCATTTAATACCAAAATTTATTAAAAAAATGTAAATTACAGAATACAACTTTTATGTGCCCCGGTTTGCACGTGTTTGCCAACACCATCTCTTTTCAAATATATGGCATGAATTACCAGAACAATTAAACCAAATCAAATTAAACGTTACTCAGAAGATATGAAAAATCAAGTGAAAACCCAGTGAACTATAAGTATTTTCAAAAATAAAAAACATAACGATAAACCGTGTTAAGTGAATCAAATTATCAGTTGGTAACACAAGTTATTAGATAAACAACTTAGTGCAAGAACAATCAAGCGAACGAAAATCTCCGTTAGTAAAGTGCGAAATAAAACATACAATTACATACTCCAAATGCTATTAAACATTAAAATAACCTTAAAAGTGCTTATCATCGTCAACCTGGGCCATAAGACATACAAAGCAATAATATTAACGCCATCTATTACTATGCTTGAACACTACGTGGCAAACCATACTCATCAACATCCGTTCACGATCGAACCAACCGAACTCTCTATTTCTCCACATAACCAATAGATAGCATTGTTGACAAATGTGATCAAAACCAACTATCTTATAGCACACTTACAGAGTTTACAAAAACAGTTAAATAATCATGAATGTAATAAAATGCATGCTAGAAAACATGCAAAAAGAAATAAAACAACGAAAGATTGATATTGTGGCGTAGCCACATATTATATGTCAAAAATTAAAAATATAGTGTGAACTGTCAACTGCCCTGTGCGTGATTCATGTTGTTTTTCTTTATATTAAATATAGTTGCTAAATTAGTATTAAAATCTTAATTATTATAAAAATTGCATTAGCCTTCCGTTTGTATATATTGTGTGTTGTTATAAACTATAGTGTGGTAGTAAATGTACTGTTATTGTGAACTGTGAAGCAGATTTATAAAGGGAATAAAAATTATAACAGTAAACAGTGAGTTATTTCTTATCACCAATTTCACTACACTGGTGACCCCGGAAGTTTGGACACTAGATAAAAATATTCATCAAAAGCTCTATAAATAGCAATGGCAAACACCAACGACACTAATAAAGCAGGAGAAAGTAGCTCATTTTCACCTTCCGACGATTGTCGCGTCGGAGTACGCCTGCCTCCGTTTTGGCCAGAAGAACCAGGCGTATGGTTCGCCCAAATAGAAGGCAATTTTGCACTTTCTGGAATAAAAGATGATGACACCAAATATTTTTATATCATTTCACAACTGGATCATCGGTATGCAGCTGAAGTGAAGGACATTATCGTTTCACCGCCGGCAAAAGGCAAATACGAGAAATTAAATACCGAGCTGATAAAAAGATTGTCAGCATCAAGAGAAAAGGAAGTAAAGCAACTATTGATGAATGAGGAACTTGGTGATCGCCGCCCGTCACAATTTCTGAGGCATCTGCAACATCTAGCAGGTCCTAATGTTCCTGACGATTTTATTCGAACAATTTGGACCAGTAGGTTGCCAAAAAACCTACAAACTGTCATAGCGTCACAACCAGACTCAACGCTGCAAGCACTAGCAGATTTGGCAGACAAAGTTCATGACCTCGTACCTACTGTGCCACAAGTTGCGTCAACAAACGCAATATCGGTTGATTTCCTAGACAAAATGACTCAACAAATAGCTGAGCTCACTCGTCAGGTTCAAGCCCTATCAGCTAGGGACAGCAGGAGTAGATCCCGTTCAAGGAACTGTAATAGTCGAAGCCAACGCAAAAATAGTAGGTCTCGTCGGTCCCAATCTAATTATAAAAAAAATCCGATTTGCTTTTACCATCACAAATATGGTGACAAAGCAAGAATATGCCTCAATCCATGCGACTATAAACAGGAAAACTCTCAAGGCGGTCTTTAATGGCGACAGACGATTGCCTTAGCTTATCCGGTCGCCTGTTTGTTTCGGATCGACGATCAAAAGTGCAATTTTTAGTCGACACAGGTAGCGACATATGCATTTTCCCCCGCTCCGCAACAAAGTAGAGACGACCGCAAACGACGTACGAACTTTTTGCTGCCAACGGAACGCCGATATCTACTTATGGGTTCGTACATTTAGACTTAGGTCTTCGGCGAGATCTCAGCTGGCGATTTGTAGTCGCTGATGTAAATAAAGCCATAATAGGTGTTGATTTTTTATCATTCTACCACATCATTATTGACTGCCGGAATCGACGTCTCATCGATAGCAGTACAAATTTATCAGCTTCCGCTACATCAGCTCTTTCATCAAACGCCATATCATCGGTAAAAACCATTTCCGGTGAATCTAAGTACCACATTCTTTTGCGCAACTTCCCTGATATAACTCGACCTTCAGGCACGCATAAAGTTCCTAATCATAATACTCTCCATTATATTAGGACAACTCCAGGACCTCCAGTTTCTTGTGCACCAAGGCGATTGGCTCCTGACAAATTGAAAATAGCGAAGGCAGAATTTGAAGCTATGCTTAAAAATGGGACAGCAAGACCTTCAGAAAGTCCATGGTCATCTCCACTACATCTGGCACCTAAAAAAGATAACGGGTGGAGACCTTGTGGCGATTACAGGTTATTAAATGCACGCACGATACCTGATAGGTATCCTATATGTAATATTCAAGATTTTACGTACAATATATCAGGATGCAAAATTTTTTCAACCATTGATTTAGTTAAAGCATATAATCAAATACCGGTAAATCCAGAAGATATTTCAAAAACGGCCATAACGACGCCCTTCGGATTGTATGAGTTCCCGTATATGACGTTTGGCCTGAGAAATGCCAGCCAAACGTTCCAAAGATTCATGGACGAAGTGACGAGAGGACTCGATTTTTGCTACTCCTATTTGGACGATTTTTTAATTTTTTCAAAAGATGAACAAGCACACCTTAAACACCTCCATAAAGTTTTCACAAAATTGCAAGACTATGGAATGGTAATAAACACGTCCAAATGTGTATTCGGAGCCTCCACTGTAACCTTCTTAGGCTACACCGTTTCACCCGAAGGCGTCAAACCCTTGACCTCAAAAGTACAAGCCATCAAAGATTTTCCAGTGCCAAAGAACGTGAAAGAATTGAGAAGATTCCTGGGAATGTTAAATTTCTATCGCAGATTTGTCGCAGGAGCAGCAGAAACTCAAGCTCCATTAAATTCACTACTAACCGGGGCGGTAAAGGGTTCACATCCAGTAAATATTACAGGTGACGCACTAATAGCGTTTGAAAAATGCAAAGAAGAACTATGCAATGCAACACTCTTAGCATACCCTGACTTAAATTTAAAACTGGGAGTAGTGACAGACGCTTCAGACATAGCAATTGGAGGGGTTCTGCAGCAATTTAAAGATGGTGAATGGTAGCCTCTGTCCTTCTTTTCTCGCAAATTGAGTCCTTCACAGAGAAAATATTCTCCATACGACCGAGAACTATTAGCGATCTATGAAAATATAAAATATTTTCGGCACATGCTCGAGGCGAAACACTTCACCATATTTACTGATCATAAGCCAATATGCTATGCATTTCAACGTCGAAAAGAAAAATGTTCACCACGGCAATTTCGCTATTTAGATTACATATCCAAATTTACAACGGACATACAACATATTTCTGGGAAAGAAAATGTCGTAGCTGACACTCTTTCACGAATAGAGGAATTATCTAAGCCCGTCGACTTAAGCACACTCACAAAAGCGCAGTCAGAAGATCCTGAGTTAAAAAAATTATAAATGGTGAAACATCACTTCAACTAATTAAGGTTAAAATACCAGGTACGCTAGAAGAATTATACTGCGACAATAAAACGCAAATAACTCGCCCTTATGTGCCCCAGAAACTTCGACGACAAATTTATGCAACACTTCATTCACTGAGTCACCCAGGCGCTAATGCTACCGCAAAATTAGCAGCACAGCATTACGTTTGGCCCGGTATGAACAAAGACTGCCGAGCTTGGGCTAAAGCATGCCACGCCTGCCAGACCTAAAAAATTACCCGACACGTGTCATCGCCGTTACACACATTCGAATTGCCACGTACCCGGTTCCAATACATTCACATAGACATAATTGGACCTCTTCCACCATCAGAAAATTTTCGGTACTGTCTGACAGCGGTAGATAGATTCACACGGTGGCCAGAAGCAATCCCATTAATAGATATTACTGCGGAATCCGTTGCAAAGGCCCTGCTACTAGGTTGGATTTCGCGATTTGGATGTCCTGTAGAAATAATAACTGATCGGGGAAGGCAGTTTGAATCATCGCTGTTCAAATATCTTTCAGATTCAATAGGTTTCCAACACAAGAAAACAACTGCTTATCACCCTGCATGTAACGGAATAGTGGAAAGAATGCACAGGCAGTTAAAATTGGCCATAACTTGTCACGGTAACCAACACTGGACTGAAAGTTTGCCACTAGTAGTATTAGGTATGAGAAGTGCTTTAAAGGAAGATCTACAAGCATCGCCGGCTGACTTAGTTTATGGTGAACCGTTAAGACTACAGGGAGAATTCTTCTATCCTTCCTTGACAACAACCACTGATGTGACGGATTTCACTGCACGCCTACGTGCTAACATGGAAAATATACGTCCATTGCCAGCTTCACGGCACAGTAAATACAGGACCTTTGTTTTCAAAGACTTGCCAACAGCTACGCATGTGTATCTGAAAGATGAAACAAAATCGCGAGCATTTCAACCATCTTATACAGGACCATACAAAGTCATACAAAGAAATGATAAAGTTTATAAACTTCTAATTAGAGGCAATGAAGTCACAGTTTCCATAAATCGGCTAAAACCAGCCTACACAATTCAGGAAAACACTGAACTCCAAGGTCCTGTCATAATGCAGCCGCCCTAAAGTAAAGAAGACATTAAGATTAAAAAAACACGTTCGGGACGAAGTGTGAGATTCCCAGATTACTATTGCCCGTCATGAGACGGTCTCTGGGTGATGTGGCGTAGCCACATATTATATGTCAAAAATTA